TGATCACAAAAGTAGATAAATTAGAGACTATTAAAGACTTTCAACCTATTTCCCTCTGCAACGTAAGCTATAAAGTGGTGTCAAAGGTGATTACAAGAAGACTTAAGAAACTTATGGATAAGCTCATTGGCAATCATCAATATAATTTCATTGCAGAAAGGTAGAGTAGCAATAGTATTAACATTACACATGAAGTGATCCACTCAATAAAGAATAAGAGAAACAAAGAAGGTATGACAGTAATGAAAGTTGACCTAGAACAAGTTTATGATAGACTTGAATGGTCTTTTATTAAAGAGACTTTAAAGTTGGTGGGCTTTGATAAGAAGATTTGTAATGTAATCATGGCATGCATTTATACCTCGAGTATGCAAATTGTTTGGAATGGTGAGAACACTGAACCTTTTAAACCATCAAGAGGATTAAAACAAGGGGACCTGATCTCTCCTTACATCTTTACTATTTGCATGTAAAGGCTTAACCATGTGATTCAAGATGCAATCAGGGAGGAAGATTGGAAGCCAATCCATCTCAATATAGGGGGACTATGTATTTCTTATCTTTTCTTTGCTGATGACCTTGTGTTCTTTAAAGAAGCTTATACAGATCAGGTTGAAATTATGCTAAAGTACCTAACTCATTTTTTTTAGCCTCCAATTAAAGATGAATTTGTCTAAAACTAAAATGTGTGTCTCTTTAAGTGTTCATCTCTCTCGAGGATTGGAGCTTAGCAAACTTATAGGAGTTAGTATAACTGGAGATTTGGGGAAGTATTTAGGAGTACCTCTTCTTCATCAATGTGCCTCACATATTGTGTTTACTCCTTTTTTAGAAAAATTTAGAAGATAACTCTCAAATTGAAAAGGGAAGTATCTTACTTTAGCCTGAAGAATAACTTTGATAAAGTCAATTCTCTGTGCCCTCCCCTTCATATTTCATGCAAACTATGATCTTACCAAAAAAGCTTATTCATGATCTGGAGAAGGATTATAGGAACTTTTTGTGGTAGAAGTAAAGAAGTGAAGAAAATTCATCCAATTTTATACAGTTATTAATGACAAGAGTAAAGGTGGCTTGGGTATCAAAAATCTTGGAAAATAAAATGAAGTGCTTGTCATGAAATTATGCTGGAATATTCTTTGCAGAAAGATACTCTGTATGTGCAGATTCTTAAAAGTAAGTATGGCTACGGGAATAACTCATTCCCCAATGTGAGAAAAAAGAAAGTCTCTTTTTTCACATGGAAAGGAATATGTGCAATTTGGGGAGCCTCCAAGAAAGGAATAGGAAAAAATTGGCAATGGAAAATCGACTTCATTTTGGTTTAAGAATTGGTCTGGGATGCGAACTCTTCTTATTGATCTCATTTTGGGTAAGGAAGTGTTGCTCATCGCAAATGCACGAGCTGTAGTAAGTAATATAAGATGAGTAAAGTATTATTTTCTCGAGAATTTGTTTAAAAACAATGATTAAACAAAAAATTAAGTAAATTCAATCAAGTTGAGCCAAACATAATTAGGAAAAAGTTAATTTTGTAAACTAAACGAATACTAAAAAAATAAAGAAAAGTAATTGATTTACAAACTTCAAACAAAAATTGGGACTTAGGATTATTTATCCCCTTTGTATTTCATAACACCAAAATTACTTCCTCTCATAAATGCTTTTAATGAAAATAAGTGCTAAACTAGGATTCTAAAAATACTTGGACAAGCTTTCTTAAGTTATGAACAAGTGTTTAGTTAAATTAATTGTTTAATCTCTTGTTACAATTAATAAAACTCAATTTTAAATACCAACCCTAATGTGGCTATGCAAAACTAGCAAGTATATCTTTATCTTACTAAAAAAGTTATCCATTCAACACGTAAATATCAAATTCTTACACTATTAAACGCAAGTTCTACACTTAACTTAGCCTTTTCAAGTATCAATCAAATGAACCCGATATCTAAAAGGTGGGTAATTAACTTAGAAGCATTAAGAAAAGAGTAAGATAAACACATATATATCATTAATCACAAAAAAAGAGGAGGAACCTAGTGTTAATCCATACAATGATTTTAAATAATCCTAGAACAAAGAGTTTAGTTATTCATAATCATTCGCGAGTTACAAATATGCAAAATAATTGGACCCATTTTAGATTACAAGATAGGAAAGGGAAGAGGAACAGAAAAACTAAAGAAAAGGAGCTCTAAATGTTTTCAAATTTCATTCCCTTGCTTCAAGCACTTTCAATGCCCAAACCTTAGCGCATCCAAGCTCCAAATGTGTCTAAAAGTGTGTAGAATGACTTTGGGTTAGCTCTTTGAATATAACTTCAACCAATTTCAGACTTAATAAAATGCAGCGTTTTCTGACAGTTGGCAAAAGTCGTGAATAAAAGTCACGACTTTAGAATGACTTTGAAAGTTTTACACTGTTTTTACAACTAACAAAAATTATTCACTTTGTGCTTGATTTCTTCATCCAAAAGCCTTCTAAAAAATTCACAAAGCTCTAGAAACGCTTCTAATCAAAACTTCAACCAAAATAACATGAAATTGGGCAAAAAATATCAAATAAAAGCCAAGAGTACAAACCCAAAACAAAATAAACATTTTCCTAACTTGGGCAATAAAAACGTATACAATTGAACCAAAATAGATTAGAATCTAAGGAAAATATGATGAAATAACATAAAATTCTAGAGGTTAACAAGAAGGCTTCATTAATCATTAAGAGAAAGCGAGTGATTATATGATAATGCTAGGAGAATAGAACAAAGAATAAGTGGGCAACTGGTTTAGTACTTTTATTATTGATTAAATAACGTGTGCACACCCACCCCATGAGGAGAGAGGAAAGGATATATTCTTATGGACTCTATCTTTAGATGGATCCTTTTCTGTTAACTCTGCTTATCATTTTACTTTTGTAGGTACTGCACTGGAGCAGTGAATGATACCATTTGGAACTCCTATGGAGATGGAAAGTGCTTGAAATGATTAAGTATTTTATGCAGATCTTCACTCATGGAAAAACTCATCCACAATAATTCAGAGTAAGAAGAGGGCTCTCAAATTTAGCGAAGTGCCTTTTTAACTATAAAGATTTGGAAGACCGAATGCACCCTTTGCGAGACTGAAAAAATGCAAGGGGACGATGGCAATCAATAGTCAACCAGGAATATTGGTACACTTCCTTTACTCTTCAAGGAGTTGAATAAGTTAAATGGAATCTAACTCATGAAGCTGGCTAAATGGCCATTAGAGACATTATTTAGCCTGCACTTTTTGGTTGTACTTGTTAAGATATATGGGTAGATAGATGTAATTTCTTTTTTTATTTGAGAATCAAGAGCCTAAGAGTCCCTCCAATGCTAAATATAGTTTTTATCGTGCATGGATGGACAAAAATCTCCATTTGAGCCATACCTTTCGTGATGATGTTACAGTTGTTCAAGATGGATGTACACCACTAAAAGGAAATGCTATCAAATTAGAGACGGATGGTTTTGTTCTTACAAGTGGCCAATGTGGATGTGGTGGAATGCTGTATCACAATAATGTTGAATGGTTGAGGGGCTTCAGTTGTAAGTTGACCATAATTCCTCCAACAATTGCAAAAATTATAGGACTCATCTAAGGGTTAAATATTTGCTAGACTAAAGGCTATATAAATGTTGTTGCTTTTCTTAATAGTACAGAAGCCATCAATCTCATCACCAGGGGTTATAGTCAAGTTCACCCATACTAGGATATCATTGAAGAAGCAAGGAGTATAATTGGGAGGAATTGGTCTGTTTCTATTAATTTCATATATAGGAAGTCAAATCTTGTTGTTGACACTCTAGCTTGATGGGCACATAACCAGGAATTATTCTTTTGCATTTATGATCAGTGATCACAAACCATCTTTTATACTAAGAGATGGTGGTTGATGATAGATTGTTTTGTTGTCTTTTTTTTTTGTTTCGTAATATTTTGTACACTTATTGTTTTTAGTTGTCATTGATAGTCTCAGTTTATACTAAAAGAAAGCATTTTTATATTTGATGACAATGAAATAAAAAAAAAACAATATACGCTTGCAAATGCAATGGAGGAATTTATACTTAAAATCATAGAGAGAACTAAGTATCATGATATCAGATTGTGAGAGAAATTATGATGGAATGAAGGTCGTGGAATGAAAAAAAATTAATTTATGGTTAATAATCAAATTGTGGATTCATATAAACCATTAAATATATTTTAGGAAAGCTGTCAATATTCAATTTTACAAATTTTGAATTTTAAAATCTCATAAATTTTAAATTAATTCGTATATGCTTGTGATAGTTTTTTTAAAAAATATTTACACTGAAAAGATTATTAGTCCTTAATCAGTGGAGAAATTTTCAAGAAGAGAATGGGATAATTGAGGGATTGAAGGCTTTTTATTAATTTTTAAGTTGCAGGAAATTATGCTTATATTAAATTTTAAGTTGGGATAAGTGATGGTGTGATAATAGATGGGATTATAAGAGAGAAAATTCAAGAATAATTTAAAAAAAGATTAAGATAATAAGAGAGAAAATAAAGATAAGGGGAAATTATTTTGACATTTGTAAATATCATATTCATCATTTTAAAAAAAATTTAAAAATCAATATAGTAATAAATGGGATCATGAAAGAAAAAATTTAAGAAAAAATTAAAAAAATTGAGATAATAAAAAATAAAAATAACGAATGAGAGGAAGTTATATTGACAAACAAAGATGTCGTACTTATTATTTTTTATTTTTTAAATTAATACTCATGTCAGATACGCTAGAATTGTGGGATTACAAAATTCCCTTGTATGTTAAGCTGTGGTTGATGCCTGTGGTCTATTTTTATACTTACATGTATATATAAATTGCGTTTTCATATGTTGAAAATTCAAATCAAATCTATCCGGCTAACCTTGAATTTTTGAAATAAATGTTTTTCTCCCCCATCATTTTATTATTTTTATTTTATTTTTGTCTTTAGAAAAGAAAAGCAGTCGGAGCGTATCGTTCTGGTTCCCGCTACGTTGAGTCGACGAGTCATCTCGTTCCGCCGCCTCGAAGTGACCCTTTCAGACGTTCCTAGTCATATACGTTCGCCGCTTAATCGTCTCCGGCACCAGGGAGCACAAGTGTCTTCTGCTTCTCAATCACCGTCACAGGTAGTTCCCTTATCTCCCATCTCTCTTGCTCTTATCACCTGTGACGGAGACTGATGAGGGCAGCAAGAATAATCTCATATTCTACTTATTATTGACTTATCTTCGTTTTAGTTCTCTATCCTAGTCTTTTAACCTTCTTAGTAAAAGGTTTATGTTATATTCAGTTGCGACGTAGACATCTATTTACTCTGTCTGGACCGTTGAATGTTTATTTGGTCTGTTTGGATATTTTCAGGCCATAATTGACCGGAAAATATGACCCGTTCGAAAGCTCCTTCAAAGAAAAAGCATGGCGTGGACTTCAAGGTTACTGAAACGCATTAGTAAAGCGCTTTCATTAAATTTACTGAAACGCAGTAATATGAAAATTCTTTGAATGCTCATTGATTGAACACTTGCAGAAAATAAAGCGAAAGATAGGGAGGAAACTGCCACCACCTAAGAATTCTACAAATACTGAAATTAAATCCAAAGGTACTACATTATTTCAGCTGCAATTTCTATCTAGGTTTCATTATTGATATGACTGTTCACCGGTTTAACAATCAATCAAGTCAACTTTAAATGTGCTCTTTAAAAATGAAATGTTCTTTGGGTTTAATACTTCAAGTTCTGAATGATTTTTCATGAACTAGTTTTATGCTTACACGTTTCTGGCAGCAATTATTTTGCCCGAGCAGAGTGTGGCATCAGAGAAGGCAGGCTTAGCAGTAAACAAGAAAGGTTTGACATTAAAAGAGCTTCTTCAGCAAACATCACATCACAACCCAAAAGTTCGAAGAGGTATATCCTTGTTGAATGTTTTGTCATCATGCTAGCAGTGTCAGTAAAATATGTTTGAAGCTAAAGTTAGTGTTGGAAAAGAAAAAAGACGTCAAAGACTTATCTGCACCAAATTAAGTTGAACTCAGTACTAAGTTAATTGGGACGTGGAACTGAAGAATCCGTAGGTAATCTTTAAAACAAACATTTCTCTAGAGGCAACCACAATTGAATAAATGAACTGTAAAGATGGTGGATAGATGTTCCAGACAGGGCTTTTTCTTAACTTTCAATTAATATTATCGAATTATTAATTGCATTGCAAGTTAATTGTTGTCTTTGGGATCTTAGAGAGTTTACTTGAATGGCATGTTGTTGTTGCTGCATGTATTAATTATCTTTGCTCTTTTTTATCATTTTATTGAAGCATTCGGCTTTTATTTTATTTACATGTTGTCTTTGGGATCTTAGAGAGTTTACTTGAATGGCATGTTATTATTGCTGCATGTATTAATTATCTCTGCTCTTTTTTGTCATTTTATTGAAGCATTCAGCTTTTATTTTATTTACATGTTGTCTTTGGGATCTTAGAGAGTTTACTTTAATGGCATGTTGTTATTGCTGCATGTGTTAATTATCTTTGCTCTTTTTTATCATTTTATTGAAGCATTCAGCTTTTATTTTATTTACATGGTACTCAAACGCTGACATAAGCTATTCCTTCCCCCTCCCCCTCCCCAAAATTCAAAGATGCATTGGCGGGTATCAAGGAATTGTTCATCAAACATCCAACAGAACTGAAGTTGCACAAGTATGCTGTTGTGCAAAAGCTTCGTGAGCGCATTGGTGATGACATTAAAGTGGTTCGAGATTCATTGTATGATCTATTTAAGTTAGTGATTTTGGCTGGCTGTGAAGAGGTATTTATAATTTAATTATCTTCACTATCTTTTCTTTAACGCTGAAATGGAAGCTGGGTGACCAATAATCAAAATAAAATATTCTAAACTTGCATCGTATTTATTGAAAAACTGTGGAAAGGTTGGTTTTCTTTTTAACAGTAAAAAAATTCTTATTGGGATTCAAAAGTTACTTGCATATCCTATATTTGATTGGAATTGTCATTTTTGATGCTCTCTTTAATCCTGGTTCTGGAGATCTAATTTATTTTACCTCGATGCATCTTGCAGTCATTACATTTAATGCCACTGTACATTTATTCTGTTTGCAATTGATTTACCTTATTCTTATGTTTATTTCTCCCATATTTTGTAGGATAACCAAGAGCTGGTTGTTTCCTTGCTGATGACTTCCATTTTTCAAGCAATGACACATTTAGCAATTGACATTCGGCTCAAAGCTTTTGAATTCTTGGATCTTGTTCTTGAGTTTTATCCACCTTCCTTACCTTTATATGCCGAGAAGGTGCCGTCATTTTCTCTATAAAAGATATATTGGAAATTGCTGCTGGAGATGCATGTGCATGTGTTCTTCATGGAGAAGGGAATGTTAAAGGGCATTGACTCATGCTGTATTGGCAGGGGGCTTCTTTAATTTTGTTGATGTTCCTGCAATGAGATATTGATTTCTGTGTCCATCTGTTCAAATATTGATCTTTTTATTCTTTGGTGTAACTGTGTGGCTCAATTGAAATAGTCATGTTAGAGCTTTGTATTTACTGTTTCGTGGTTGCATTGTGGGCAGATTTTCCAGATCTATGATGATATTCTAAGGAAGAACCAGTGCTATTTACAGGAGAGAGGGAAACTGAAGGTTGCTCTTGTGGGGTTGGTTCGCTGCTTGTCACTCTTGCCATGGCAGAAACAAGAAACTAATTTGCATGATAAGGTATCTTGTTTTCAATTAAAATAATGAACTCATGTTTTGGTAATCCTATGTGTAAAGTTAATTGCAGTTGGCATTTTAACTATATTCTAGATAAAGTTTGTCAATTCGTGCCTTTGGAGGCTCTAGTGTGAATATGAAATATTTTATTTGTTTTTTTATCATAAATTTGAGTTACCCCACCTAGTGGAATAAGGCTTGCTCCTGCTGTTGTATATTATGCAGATTTGGAACTTTGGCATATAGTGAATGGAGCAAGTGCTGTTGCTCAGAAACCCGTTAAATAAAATATTATTTTGCACAATGCATATGATTTTCTGGAATGATGCATATCAAATTTTTGAGGCACTCAGCTTTTAAGACTACTTTACGTTGGTTACTGTTTCTGACCACATCTAGCGTTGCTTGCTTTTTCCTCCACACAGATTTTTTTTTTAATTGTATACTCTTGCTTATTTATCAGCTGCTTTTTTGGCTTCACAACTAGTCTCTGATGCTTTCTTTAATTCCAATAGAATGATGCTGGACAGAGGGTATTGCATGCTTTTGAGGATGATATGCCTGCAAGATCTACTGGTAAAGCATCATAAATTTTAAAACAGATATTTGATATACTGATTTTGATGAGTTTGAATAATTTGTTAGTAGAATTGTTTATTCAACTTTATGATTCCGCATTCCCCCCCCCCCCAATTGGGACACTAATGGTCTGACTATCCTGCTTTATACTTTCTCTGTGTATAGGTTTTCCTCTTATCATAAAGAAGCTGAAGGATCTTCTGCCAGTATTGCTAAATACTTTCCAGGAATTTATTCCTCAAGCTCTTGCTTCCCCAAAACTTGATGGGATGTCTTCTGCTTGTATGCTGTCTATACTTAATTGCATAGATATGATAATCAGGTCCTTTATTTATGGGAGTTATGGGAAGCAGTCAGAGTCCCTAAGTTCTCTTGGTGAGCCTGGCGTGATGATATGGGATGATGCTATCTCTTCCTTAATGTTGAGGAAATTGTTTTCTTTGTTTCCCCTCAATCCTGTGCATGATCATTCAGAAAAGGTACTTATTTTGTGGGTTTGTTTTCTAAACCTTAGGGAGGGGATGTGTTTATGCAATATAGGATGTGGAAGATAAAATAGAATTATTCAGACTAATTGGTTATTCCTCTTTAATGTCTCTGTTAATCTGACCTTTTTTCTATCAATTGTAGCATTTTGTTTAGCCAGGTATTTAGTTAATAATGATTACATGTTGCTCTGCTACAAGGTTTCTGCTGTAGGCATTTTATGTTCCTTTTAAATTTCTAGTTGGCTTCCCAACATATTGCTCAGCTAGTTATTTAGTTATGAAGGAATTTAATTGCTTTTTGATGAGTATACATTCCTGTTATACTATTTCTTTATTTGGAGATGTTTGTTCTATATTGCATCTTTTTTCCTAGGCTCTCCACTGAAGTTTGAGTTTTAAACTAGATGTTATCCACCTGTCAAGCAACCTCATGAGTGCTAAACCCAATTATATTGTATTTTTTGTTAACTGAGTAAGAAAATGATATATAAATCATGACATGATTCATCTTTAATTGAGGATGAATAAACTTTTTGCAATAGATACTGATTCTTCTCATAGCCATCCCTAGTTGCTGAAACATATTTACTGTAGTGCTTTGCCTACCTTATCCTTTGGATTTAATGGCTGTTAACCTTATTGAATAAAAATCAATCTCATGTAGTGTAAAATCTTTTGACCTAGTGGAGTAATGGGAGGAGTAAGCAGATAGTATAGGAAGGACTATTTAGATCACTAATAGCAAGCATAGCTTATGCTCTTATGGCTTGAGATGGAATGTTGACCTTTGATAAGGCATGCCTTGTGTTCCAACTTGGCAAATATTGATCACTATTGTAACATGCATTGGTTTCCAATGAAGGTGTTCAAAGTTGGATAAGCACCAGTTGGCAGTCCTGTAACTTGATAGTTAATTGGGATATTTATATTGATGATGTGTTTCTGCGAGTGTGACTCTTGGTTTAGGTGTTTGTACTGGATAGTTGAAAGTTAACAGTGGCATGTGTTACACTGTCACAGCAAATTTTTATGTAAAATAACCATACAATTCTCTAGATAAAATTTTCTGGGGTGAAATGCCACTTATTTTTGGTAGTCCCCCCCTCCCTTTGTGAAAAGTGGGGGTCAGACTAAGATAGATTTGCACTCTCTATGGATCTGATTCCTTTTACCTATGCTTTGCAGGAATATGACAGATACCTTGAACTTAATATGGTCGTTACAAAAATATTTTTTCTGCTCAAGGAATGGACCTGTCTTCCTTTTGATTTGTTGGAGAAGTTTCTAGAATTTCTGGAAAATGCACTGCTTGGGAAGGTTTGATAAATGGACCTATAACTTTTTTAAAATTTAAGCTATTGAATTATATAATTTTAAAGCTGTTGGACTTGTTACTATGCAGGTTTTTGAAGCTTCACAGTCAGCTAACCCTGTCTGGGAAAAGCATTTAATTCAACTCCTTCCTTTTATTCCTAAAATTGTTACATGTGAGGCGAGCTATTGGACACCTCGTCTTCTTCAGGTTTGACATATAATTGTAGAGATTCTGAATATTGATTGTTTCTTTTAAAGCCATTGACCGGGTTTTCTTATTCTTTTTAAATTATGTAACTTGCTTGCTTTGATAATTAACACTTCTTGAATGCAGGCATTTACACAGACATTCAGGGAAAGCAAGCCAGCTTCTTTATTGAAAATGGCCTGTCTTTCTGCAATTGAGGATATGCTAACTTCTGTGAGTTTGGCTCCATTTTTATTCCAAATAATTACTTTAAGTTGGAGTCTTGGATAATCAAGTGAAAGCAATTTATACACTTTAATTGAATGTGTTTATATTTTGGTGCAAATTATAGATCCAAAGTAAGCTTCATCTAGATGCCAGCTATCCGGAAAATGTTGAGTTTCAAGATGCTTTGATTGCATGGATAAGAGAGCTCCCTTTGTTGCTGATCCAGGTTGGTGATAAACACCCAACGTTCTCACAGGTAGTCACTAAAGCAGTACTTAATGTGAAGTTTTCAAATGTAACTTGTGGTCTTAACTCACTGGTTTACTATCTACCCTTTAAACATTCCATGTTCATTCAGGCTGTGTTACGTCTTCAACTTTGCATTGGACGGTGTGCTTTGTCAAACTCATCACTTGTTAGCACATATGACAACATGCAATACTCATTGCAGGAGTTTTATTGTGCATGCCAAGAAAGTAAACAAAAACAGTGTTGACTCGGTATTTGTGGTTTATTACCTATACTCTTAAATCCTAACCTCTCATCATATTGCCCTGTTGCAGGAAACATGTGTTATGGTCCCTTTATCAGGCTTCCTAGAGAAGCTCAAGAGCTCTCTTTGTGTTGCCTTTACTATTTCTCTCATGTGGATTCACATTTCTTGAAGACAATATCTTGTTGCTGCCTATGTATGTATTTTTGTCCTTTGGCAAAATTGTAGCTAGCTTTCATGTTTTGTTCAACATTTTCTTCACTGTTTGATCTCTTATCACATGCACAATAATTAGTTTCTCGTGCTATACATGTATAGATTAGAGTTCCAAAATTTTCATTGCACTGTTCTCTTGATGCTGTGCTGGTGTGTGTCAAAATTAACAACCAATGTTATCTATGCCCATGGGCTTTTCTGCTTGATACTTTGTGTATTTGTGAATTGAATCAAACGCTCTGTGAATTTTCTTTTATTTGCTCACTGATCTGTCATTGAAAATTTAACTGTAAGTTGTTTAAGCGCTTATATTGTTCCCCAAGAAAAAATCCAATGAACATATGATAAGTGGAATGTAGTTGTTCATAGACAATGAATTCAAAATCTGTAGCTGGTGTCTCGTGAAAAAATGAATATTATTGTCTCACTAGATTGTTTATAGGTTGCATCAAATAAAATATTTAGGCTTTCAATCTTCCCATTAAGGATGTGGTTTCAACTATTTGAAATGCATTATTTTAATATAAAACGTGGGAGCTATACAAAATATTTGCAATGAAAAAATAAACTTGAGAGTAAAGTACCAAATTATTTGGTATGGAGATTCTGAAAACAGAGACACCTTGTGAAGTATTGAACAATTAGTAAGTTGATTGACCAATAAGAACCATTCTTACATGGATAAGTTATAAAGGTTAGTGGTACCTTTTTACAGTAATTACACTTGCTATTGGTGTTTTTACAATATGTTCAGTGTCATTAAAGTAGGATGCTCATAACCAAATGCTTTAGTAGGTTTTTATTACTTAGCACCTCTGCATTTCTTTGTCTCCTTTGTAGGTCCTAATCTAGATCCCCATGTGTTATTTCGGACAATTGAGGTTCTTCATTCAGCGTACAGAGCTGGACGTATTGATATTGCTGATCACTTGAGTTTCTTCATTACCTTACTCTCAGGCTTTAAAGTTTCTCATGGTAGGCCGCATATTTATATGGTGATGGGCACCCAAGTGGGATTATATGGTCAACTTGTTTGAGCTTATCTTTATGGGAGATTTATTTTTTTGGGGTGGGGGGGGTTGGTTATCAACGTAAAATTCTGCTTCTTGATAATTACTGGATAGATAAATACAACTTCGACATAGTATGCCTTGCATGGTCTTGAGCTTGTGAAATCATGAGGATGAAGAAAATGTTGTTAGTCACTGGTCATGTGTGCCCGACTTTCTAGGCAAATAATACTGCCCCACTGGTGGTTTAGTATAGTGATCTCAGATGATTAAATTAGGGAATATCAACTTCTCTATTTTATTAAACATATCTTCTGTAGTCATCCAATGTCAAATTTTATTCTGGAGCTGTTATTGATTGAATTTTACAGAAGTCGTTTCTCCTGGCTTGGGTGATGATCCAATCTTCAAAACTTTCAAGTCTATTACGAGTGTTCTTTGTTCACATCTGGCTATGATGGGCAATAATTCTCTTGTTCTAGAAATGCTTGAGGAAGTGATACTTGATCAGATAGTAAGTTGATTCAATTTCTTCCTATAACCAACCAATTCACTAAGCTTTGTTTTGCATTGAGTTCTCTTCTTTATTGACTGAAGTAATCATCTCCCTTTTTTACTTTTCTTATCTTTGGTCCACCCTAAGACATTTTAGAATCATGAGGTCATATGCATTTACATTGAGGTTTTTTTTTTTTTTAAAAAAAAAAACTGAACTACTAATTTTCCCTTTCTTTTACTTTTATGATTGTTTGATCCATTCAGAGATGTTCTCAAATGATGAGTTCTCACACTTTTATTGTGTTGCAGTTGCTAAAGCCTCCAGTGGATAACAGTTGTTCTCTCCTAAGAATGCTTGTAACAGTGGATGTTAAGCCTACAATGCTTTCTGAGAAAAGTATTGACACTCTGGGAGTTTTTCTTTCAGAATATTTGATAGATGTTGTGCAAGTGAGTATATTGTTTAAAATCTGACGGCTAGTCAATTATATATGTCACAGCTAAGTGGGGATTTAACCATTTTATATTACTTCTTTCGGGTTTTCAAATTCATGCCTCTCATTGAAAGTTGAAATGATTTCTTATTTGTTTTTGTCTTTTGCCTTGTTTATTTTGAACGTCAAAAAACAGCAATATCTTTGTAAATGTGATAAGTAAGATAATATGTTACATGGATTAAACTTAAAAGATGTGGTTCCTTTTTGAGAAAAATTAGAAGTGTCCTTAAAATCGGCAAAAAAATCAATCAAGATATACAGAGTTGGATGGAGAACTTTCTATCTGGCCTTGCAGTTTTTTTTTTTTTTTTGGGGGGGGGTGTTACTTCACCTTGTCAGTCATGTTTATTTGGAATTTTTTAACTACTAAATTATAGATCACATGTAAAACCGAAGAGTCAATCCATTTGAAAGAATGGCAACTACATATTTCTATCTTCTGCGATTTATTTTATTCTATTTTTCAACCTCATTTAATGCTGTACTTGTTTTCAACTCTTTTGGTAACCATGTCTTTCCTCATGTTTCATCTTCAGTTATCCTTAATTCGTTGATTGATTATCGACTTAACTGTCTTACAGTGCATTCCAGAAGATGATGACAAACACACCCTGTCCAATCAATTAAGTACCCTGCATTATTATCTACTTCCTTGTTTTTTCTTGTTTGATCGGTGCCACAAGCTTATGAATCTTGTGTTGAAGAGCATGAGATCCGCTATAGGAGGAAGTTTTTCAGCAATTGCTGATTCTAGAAAGGCCTTCTACAATAGGGTAAATGCTGTTGCTTCTCTACTTTCGTTGATGCACAAAGATCCTAAATTGCGACAGATAATGTCTTTATTCAAGGCGGATGTTGATAACATCCTGCAAGTTTATTTGCAGGTTGGTTTGTGCTTGATGTTCAATAATTTTTTTCCTTTATGGCCTTAGATGTTCAATATTGTTGATTGCTACTTTGAACATGTCATTCTTGAATATTAATTATGCGATGCCACTTTATAAAAGATGGATGGATACAACTTGTATTTGTAATGGTCGACAAAAGCTAAAATTTCTGAGATGTTAGATTTTCATCCTTTCGGTGAGGTATGAGACGAGTGTAAATGCTGGCTTCATAAGCATCCAAGCATCTTGAACATACATGCACAAACACATCCAACTGGGTTACCTTAAATACCCTCGTATGCTAGATGCTTGGATGAAGACGATGGTGAAATAATGCCTTGTGAATAGTTCATGTCAAAATCATGTTTTTCTACTTTATGCTTTTCTTTTTGGGATACATTTATGGTAATGTTCTTAACTTTTCTCAAATATGGTAATTTGGTCTTTTCTTTACTCGTTTCTTTGTTTTGGTGCAGTTATCAGAAAATATCAGTGTGGAAATTGAAGAAAGGGATAAAATAGATCGGTCATTTGATCAACTAAAAATTCTAAGAAGTTCGCTACCCTAAGAGACGGACAGTCTCCAAAAGAGTGTTTTATAGCCGAGCAACTAACTTGTCCATGTGAGTTTTCATGACTTCACCACCATTTTGCCTTGGTCCTATTTTTCTTGAGACTTCTCATTCAGCCATGTTGTGGATTTTGGAGTGAAAAGCATGCATGGAAATTGCCTCTGTTTCATGTTGAAAGAGGTGGGATGCTTTGCTATTTTTTCTCAATGGTATGTTTAAAGGAGCTGCCGACCCCACCTAGTGGGATAAAAGCTTGTTGTAGTTGTATGTTTAAAGGAGCTGCTTAACAATTACACTTGCTGTGCTGAACTTAACACCCCCCCCCCAAAAAAAAAAATTATTGCCTTAATAAAATTGTTGTTTGTGCATTATAATATTGTCATAATGCTTTATTATTTAAAGCTTGCATTTAGCTAATCAGATATATCATATGATGACAATCATTGTCGCCTAAGATTAATTCATTGATACGGTTCTATCAGGTCTCAAATTTGTCTGTGTCTCTTTGCGATTAGAGGAATAGCAATTCGTTGAGTAGTTCTGATTTCCTATAACCTAACCTTTACAGGAATGGTGAGCACGGAAATCTGCTTAAATGCGCTGAAGGATGATAAGCGCTGAAGTTTGCGAGACAATGTTGGTTTCACTCTTCCAACGTTTAACGTGGCAAAATTTCCTTCCATGTTTCCCTCTCACATGGCAGGTATGCTGATGACTTTCATGATTGGTTTAACTTACAGAGAATGCTGGACGACAACTGTTAAAAGGGGAACGTGTTCATTTTGAGCTGTTAGTTGAAATTGGTATCTTTGTTGACCGTTCATGCTAACGCGGGAAGATGTCCAAGAATATCACTTTTGTGCAGTGGCCATCATGTGATTCTCTGAAGTGCATTGTTGTCGTCCATAACTGGTAATTTGTTTTTTACTGTGGGTAAGTAATTTTGAGTTCTGCCAGCTGGCTATTAGTTCCCATGTCGAGATATGTAATATTTGTCTTCATTTCTCCATAATGTCTTGCTCTAACAGCCTTGCTGCCATGAGTGTCAATGGCGTATTCCTCAATGAAATTATTAATGTTGTTAGAACTTCCACCATGTCTTGTTGCTTTTCGTTTCGCTAGTTTTTCTAAAATTGAGCTCAACTTCAGACCTCTGAAGTCTGAGTGTCTAATTTCATATCATTCAGCGGCGTTTAAGAAATCTCATCCAACTGTACGTCATAATGTCATATTTGCTCCTCAATAAGTAATTTTTTATCGTTTTTATCAACAAGTTGCATAATGTAATCAATGTATAGAATGTTTTTGAAATAGAGGATGGGTTCTCTATCAAAAAAAGAACTAATACATGGGCTCACCTCTGACCATGATGAATTTGCTTATAGAAGAAATAACCTTTTTTTCTCCTTACGCATTAAGAAAGACGTTTAAATCCAAGCATGTATGCCCTCACTCAAATCGAAACTGTTGGCGTTTCAATATGCTTGCTGCACTTGTTCAGAATCTGGCAGTTGGGAAAGTTCGAATAGTTCTCAGGTATCATGTTAGGAGGCTCTACGTTCTGGGTATGTTAATTTTCGTTTCTCCTAAGATTTTTTTTTTTTTTTGGGAACATAAGAGAGTGCATTAAGCCAATGAGGTCACAAGAGTGTTCATGCTATCAGATAGGACCTGTTCTTATTATCCAACATCTTTTGACAAAAAGGGATAGTTGATCAATAGCACAAGAACTCTCTACATAGTCTAAAGCATTCTGAGCAAGTAAATGAGCACAAAAATTTGTCTCCCTATACATAAAATTTAAAGACACTGCTCTAGAGTTAGTCAAACATTCCTTAGCTTGTTCAATCATATCTCTAAATGGATGTTGACTCACATAAGATCTAGTAAGAAGGTTAATTGCCTCAGCATAATCAGTGAACACATGGATTCCTTGTAGATCTAGATGGCAGCACATTTTAGCATCTTGAAATAAACCAATAATCGGTTTTGAAAAAGACGGGTTTCATTGGAATGATTGAGTTGATGGATACAACTGAACGTCAATCTTTTCTGATAATGAAGCAGTCGCTAATGTCTAGAAGGGCCACTCCAACGCACTGCCAACCAATTGCTTAAAATTCCGTGAGGTAACTCAACGTATACTGTTGTTTTTCTCCTGCCAGAAGAGTCTATTCTAATGTCAAGTTGAACTTTTGAAGCTAAAATCATTTGAGCTAACTTTCTAAAATGGTTGGTGTATCATAATTCTCGAGTATAATACACGTATAGGTTTTTTTGTTTTATCCATTATTTTTCCACAAAGTTGTAAACCAGAATACCTCTGGCTGATTGATTATCACATAACTGGATGAACCAGTGCAAGGATAAGATAATATGAAAATCCAGTGCCTCGTCCTGTATTGCTGAATTCTTCTGCTGGGAAAGGCATCAGGCTACCGTCGGCGATAGTCTAACTATTTAAAACTACTATGCTGTGATTCTTAAATATGCATGTAGATGTCAATTCTGTTTTAATTTCGGTGTTGGCATCGCAAGCATTCGCATGTTGACATGTGGGAACGTGGATCCAATCTTACGTTATGGTATACCTCCTTAAAAGAGCTTTCACTGGAGCACTTCCTACATTTCAATATGCCAGAACCACCACCCATCCATGTAAAATCCCGAACCAAAATGCTTCTCGATTGACTGTTTTCTAGATTCTTATTTTCCCTGACATAACCTATTTGTCAGTTTGTGTTCAAAATCCTTGTTTAATTATGAACCTAGTTAAGCATCTTTATTTTAAAACTCGAAAGAATTGAAGTACTCTTTTCAGTTTCTGTTGGAAAACACTTCTAACCACCTCGCTAAAAATAAGGAGAGACTATTAAGTTATTAATTCTATCTGAAAATATAATAAACGTTAATCTTATTCACATTTAAATAAAATATTTTTAAATTTATATTATATTCTCTTTCATAGTTAATGAATTTGAATATAAATAAAATTGAAAAAAATGTAATCACCTAGTGTCTTGATATACTAATGGATTTGAGTATCTTACAATAGAAATAGAAAGGAATACTGCGTTATTAATCATGTTTATCAATTGATAAAGGGATTTTTAAAATAAAAAAAAATTCGTTTGTTGTTATTGATGTAACCTAGTAAGTTTATAGACGCTTAGGTTAGCCGCGCCAGCGGAAGCTACGAGGCGTCGATTTCTCACCAGGAATACCTGTGATGGATCATCTGTGTCCATATCACTTCAGTGAAATTACAGCTTTTTTTAAAGTTAAATGAAATATAAATATGAAAATAATTTTAATTAATACGGAGAAATGGGACCTCTACCAACCAAACTGCTCAGCGGCCAGGATGTTAATTTGAAAGGGAAATGTACTGATTCCTAATCATATCCATTCCCTCAAATTTTTGCATTTCGCTCTCACAAATCTCTCTTCTGCGTCACAAGCAAATAGCTTTTCACATTTATTCAGTGAGGGCGACATCGGAGCATTGCGACATCGATGCCTCTTCTCATCTAAATCACATCCGTATTTATCACTCCCTCTTATTTATCAGTATATATAAGTTTCTCAAAGTTAAAATATACAAATTAAGAAATATAATCAATATAAAAAAATTTGACTCTATTTTAAAATATGTTCCTAAAATTTAATAACGCTGCTTTGAAGTTACTAGAATAATTAAGGATATAATATGGAAAATATTACTAAGGTCATGTTTGGTACATTAGAATTGGGTCCAAGAGAAATGGAATTGGAATTGGAATCATATTTTCAATTGTTTGGTATGCATGAATCCAATTCCTTATGGATTCCAATTCTACCAAAATACCTAGAATTCAATTTCATCTCCATCATGATGGAATTGCCACAATTCCATGGAATTGTCATAAGTACCCCACATACACACTCCATCATGATGGCTAAGTTTTTTATTTTTTTATAAGGGACATTTTGGTCTTTATTTATTTTAAATACATATATTTATTAATATTATATTCAGATTCCATCTTCATACCAAACTTACATTTATAACTCAATTCAATTCCGATTCCAATTCCGATTTCAATTCCAATTCCGATTCCGATTCCATCAAAAACTCTTCCATCATACCAAACGAGGCTTAATGATGCTTTAAATTTCTGAAGAAACATATAAAAAGACTTCTTTTTAATACAAGGACATGGTAAAAATACTATACAATTAGACCAAGATCAGGTCATATCAAAAGATATAATGCTTCTATAATTTATTAGGGTAACATCAAACAGAGTAATATCAAAATGTTTGCTAGAGGCCTTATGGGCCAGTCGGCCAAAAGATTAGCACAATAATTTACCTCTCTGTGGACGTGTTTTAGAGTGATCTCTTAACTCCTTATGATGAAATTTTTATTTTTTGATGATTTGTGAGAGAGGAATATAACAAAACATTTTGATTGGTTCATTCCCAACAAGGCATTTTCCTTTCCGAGCTGGTTACTTAAACGATAAATGGTACCGTGTCCTTTTCTAGTTATGGAGCTCCTCGGATTTTCAAATAAATATAGAAACCTAAAACACCACAGCATTTATAACTTGTATAATAAAAACATGTTATGTTTAATAATTATAAATATAAATTTATTCTATTATTGATGGTTATAGACAGAGAAAAAATAAGAAAAAAAATTATAAAACTAAATTTATCAAAAATAATAATAAATAAGATTTTATTTGATTTAATTGGTACTAATATTGCACGTTTTTATTGGATAAACCATGATGTTGTGTATCGGGTTTGTGTAAGAATTTCTCTTCAAAATATAAGATATTTTTGTTATTATACTTGTTTCAACATTATACTTCCCTATTTGTTATATTTTCTCTCTCTTTACAAGATGTTTCCCTAATAAAGTATATTAAATGAAAGATATTTTTAAAATTTTTGTTTTTATCTTTTAAAAAATAACATTGTAAAGTGTATTTAATAAATTTTATTGGCATATATAATTTTGACTAAAAATATCTTCTAAAATAAAATAAAAAGAACACTAATTAACTCGTAAATTGCAATGATGCTGTTTATATATCCACTCCGAAGCGTAAGGTAAGATCCAAAGTTTCTCGGAAATTTAATCAGACAAATTCCGGCATGTTTTGTTTAATAGTTGAACCAAAGATAGTAATAAGCGATTTAAAGCTGGTTTGAATTTACAACACATCCACGACATCAACAAGAAAAAAAAACACAAAATCTCTCAATCTCATGATTAGTATACAATTAATTTTATGAATAAATTAATTTATAAATATTCTTTATGATATATTACAATTTTGACTTGTTTAAGTCAAATTTTAACATTTTAAATTTATCTATTTATTATTCATGCAGGATTATAATAACTTTATAAAATATCAAGTATTAATTATTAAAATTTTAATATAACAGTGAAAGTGAGGAAAGGAGAGGAAGAGAGGGGGGATGAAAGAATCTCTCCTCTTATATGATTTGAGCTATAAGATGAATTATACCCCCTCATTTAAAAATATAAAAAAAATTAATTGAATCTCACTTTTTTAATAAAGTAATTAACTGTCTTTAAATTAATATAATATTTTTAAATTTATTCTTATTTAATAGGTATTTTACTTAAAAATAAATATAAAATAATTTATTTATTGAATATATTTTAAAAAATAAATTAATTACATCTTAAAATATTAAAAATATATTATATTTTTTAACATTCAACCCTAAAAAAATATTTATATTTTTTATGAAAATGAGTACATTTGAGTACAACATAATACGACAAGATGATATTATTTTTTTCACTAGGAGCATTGTTAATTCTACGATATCCAGAAAAAAAAAAAACACGTTCTTGACTTGATTTTAGAATAGATGATGTCAAAGGTTTTGCAAACTACAAATTAGAATATATTGTTAGAAAATTTTTTAATTTATTTCTTCTTCTTCTTCTTCTTTTTTTTTTTTTGCCATTCTTGAAATACTTTAAGCTGGAAATTTTTGTATTGGACGGTAACTGCAGCGCAAATATGCCCAGTGTACTAAGCGCAAATATGCTCAGTGTATGGATATAATAAATAATTACTGGTAAATACTATCACTTAATATTTTAATTTTAACATGTAAATATATCTATTGGAAAATGTATGGCTCTGTACAAGTTATACCTTTCCTGATCACTTTGTGATCTTAAATAGAAACTTTTTTTTTTTTTGTGCCAACTACCTTAAATTGAACTTGAAGGAAGTAAATAGCATCAATCATCATAATTTTTATTGATTATGTGAAAAATAATAATAATATCTCCTTAGTCTGCACCTTTTGCCATGCCATTGTACCCGCCTACATATCAAGAAAGTAATTTTCATCACTTAATGAGATTCAGTCCCAAAAAAGGAAAGTCCTCCCAAAAAATGAAGTTTTTGCTTTCAAGTATGAGTAATATTTTGATGAATAGAATTTAGGAAAAATGATAATATTTTTTTTTAATTATATAAATAATAATTTAATTTCTTAAAATATCATAATTCTATTAAAGTTCCTTAAGAGTTTTATATCATTAATAAATTTATATAAATAATCAAATTATCCTTGTAATAATATTAGAAATTTGACATATGAAGTTATAATTTACTATTACATTATTGTGAATATAATAAAAAAATTATGATTGTTTCAATAAAACTTATAATTATTACTTCTTATTTTCAATACTTGAAGCACTATAAAGAATTTGACTGTAAAGTTGTGATTGATTATTATGTTATTGTGAATATAAAAAAAGTTATAATTATTTAAATAAAATTTGTGATTCTTTTATTTTTAACAAGGATAATTTAATTATTTACATAAATTATATTAAGGATTAAATTATTATTTATATAATTTAAAAATATTTATTATCATTTTTCTTAGAGTTTATATATTTTGATTGATGTCTTTTATTTTAACTTAATAAAAAAAAATCAAACTCCAGAATGCACTGAGCGGCTCTTTCCACTTTTCCAGATAAAAAGCGGGCTTTTGCGAGTCGTTTTGTTAGCGTCTTACTTGATATCCAAGCAAGAAACAGTACTGAGTCCGAACACGTCATCATCCCCCGGGTTTCTCGATAAAGCATTATTTCCATTAATACCCCTGACCGCCTTTCCGTATTTACTAAACCATACATACCTAAAACCCCTATCTTTTCTCTGCACTCATTTATAAAACGCTCTTTCCCTGTTCCATTACCTCCGGTTTTCCTATGTCTCTGTCTTCGTTTGTCTTCCGACGGTGATTTCTCCTTCAAAATGTTGAAGGATAACGCCGGTGTATCCTTCTCTGTTGTCTTCTTGGACGGTGAAAACACGGTCAACATCGGCGAAATCATGGTGGACTCCTCTCTGAATTTCAAGAATTTTCAGTCGGATATTGGCCAAAAGATTGGCGTATCTCCGCACCAGTTATCCGTATATTTTGGCAGCCGAGAGAGTAACCGGAAAATTCCTATAACACGTAAGGTCAATTTCGCCGCGATAGCTCGTGAGAAGGGCGGATTCTTCTTCGTGAAGCGACGGCCCAGGAGGCATAAGACGCACAAAGAATCTCGAGATGAAGAACAACCGTGCAACAAGAAGATCCCTCCGGCGAATGTGAAGCTTCTGAGGCGAAACACAGGTATCGACTTCTACCCGGCTTTCCCCGGGTTCCAAACTCCGATTCTTGATCGGATCGGGTACGAAACTCGGGTGAGGAATTTACAGGTTGAAAAGGAGCGGTACCTGATGAATATGGGACTCGGTGGTTTGTGCCTGGGAAAGGAACCGAATGGCAGTGGCAACAGGAATGCGAGCGGCGGTGAATTGGTGTGCAAGGTATGTTCGGTAGGGAATGCATCAGGACGCGATGCGGGTTTCCATTGGTGCGTGCATGACGCAGTCACGGAAGGGTTTAGGTCTCCGGCGGGTCCGATTGCCCGACCCGTGAAGAACATCGGTTAGAGGGAGCGGGAGTGACGGATGCCCTGTGAATGGGCATAGGATAAGGATAACAGGGGAAGCGGAAACGTTAGTAACAGCATAGTTTTTGGGATTAATTAATGAGAATTAGATAATAACAGATTAAGGTTATGGAGTATATACGAATACCATTTATTTAGAGCTAGTATACAGACGATGATGCCCTCTAGTATATGAGAAAGGGTGTACTGGCTTTTTGGATATATTTGGGGAGTTCATGAAAGCGAGAGCCAGGGAGGCATATGGGCTGCTTTCCATGGCATTGTTATGTTGCATCTTACAAAACAAGATTGAGACTGCAACTTGAATGATTGAGACATTTGTAGGCCCTTTTCAGTTGCAACTTTGTGAATTGCTTTTGCACAATGTTGGGTTCCTCCTCCTTTTCTTCTTCTTCTTCTTTTTTTTTAACTGTCTTCATAATCTGTTTCTTCACTCTCTCGTGTTTCTTGTGTACGACGATTCACACCTTAGTTGGGGAGCTGTGCATAGCCCATGCCGTACCAACTGCTTTGATTCTCAGCAACATTTGGCAAGGAGGAAGTAAGGAACAAGTTGTTCAGGGGAATCAAAATCCTTGACCGTACCAACGTTGCGTGCCACTGTTAACAAAGCCCCATGTGCGGAGGGAGCAGGAAATTTATGAGAGGGGGAAAATGGAAAATTGAGTTTATGCAGTTATATAATTAAATCTTCTGCCGTTTAACTTCATTTTCCTTTTCAAGAACGAAAACACATCGAGAGAATGTCAACCTCGGGGTCAGTTGCAAGTTACTTGCAAATTCTTGGAATCTAATGTGGTCTAATGTAGGTTTTTGGAATTGGGCCGATTGCTAAATTCATTAGCAATTTGACCACAGTATTATGGAAAAAAAATTATTTATCAAAATGTTATATTTTTAAAAATATTTTTTAAATGTTATAAATTTGAAACTTGGTTTAAATCCCTGTAAGTTGCAAATTTCTTTTTTTAACATAAAAGGATAGAGTTTTATGCTTATAATTTTTTTTTTAAGAAAAAAATTGATGTAATAGACATGCCGGTTGCAGTTGGCAAGCCACTAACTATTTGAACTCCGTTGCCCTTCCGCCTTTTTTGTTGTTGTTGTTGTTGTGTGGTGCGTTTAAGGTGTACTAATTTTTAATCAAAATGTTTTGGATGTTATATATAAAATAACTATGACATTAATTTGATAACTATAATTATTATATTTTTAGGAGTTGGTTAATTTTTTTTTAAAATTATACATCCTCTTCATATTTATATTTATTTAATAAGATATCTCAATTTAGAGAACATTATTAGTATACTTTTAATTAAGAGTGTCCTTCTGATTTTATTTATAAGACACTTTTACATTAAGAGTAAGAAAAATTTAAAATTTTATTAACTCTTTAAAAATTTAACAAGCTTTTAACTTTATTTATATTAAATATATGTATCATAAAAGGTTAAAGATCCAAAATATTTTATATTTTTAACACAATACTTTAAAATATTATCTTGTAATATTGGACAGATAGAGTACAAATTATAAAATAAGTAGAGTATTTAATACTATAGAGTAAGTTGTAAAATATTAAGTAATATTATTGTTTGTAAGTGTATTAAGTAATAAAATAAGGTATTAAGTAATATTATTTTTTTAAATAAATTTAATGAGATTTAAAATATTTTTTCGGGGGGAACGTCTGTAAGTACCAGTATTACACACATTGTTTTTCCCCCAAAAAAATACAGACACCGTTGCTTTCTTTTTTTGCATCAAGTGCATTGATTTTTTATTAATCGTTTACAAATATATAAAAATTTATTAATAACTCTTAAAATTGTGTTTCATGCGACTATTAAATTTTTTAATAAAATAATATAAAAATAATAAATATGAAATTTTATTTTTTTTAATTTATAAAATATATTAAATTGTAAACCATGTAATGTTATTTTATTACTTATCCTATAATATTAAATACTTATTTTATCTATAATATTAAATACTTATTTTATGGTAAATAATTTTTTTTATAAAACCGTGGTCAAATTGCCTCCAACATAACCCCACTCTTTAATTCTTTATCCTTTTAAGTTAAAATATATATTTAATTCTTTAACTTTACATAATATTTTATTTTAATCTCTTAACTTTATGAAGTGTTTTTTTTAATTTTTTTAACCTTAACATTGTTAGTTTTATCCTAAAAAATTTTTACATAAATTTTTAAATATTAATAAAATATTCTCAAATATTGACATATTAAGTTTATTTTTTAAAATAATAATGATTGATATGAAAAATAATTATTTAAAACTAATGATATTATGGTTAAAGGAAAAAAACATACTTTATAAAATTAAAATATTAAATTAAAATTTTATATAAAATTAAAAAATTAAAAGTATATTTTAACTATTTTTTATTATTTCTTATTTTATGTTTTTTTAAACTTCTCTGTCCATCGAAAGGCATATAGTACTTCTGTCAAATATTCGTCGCTTTATGACCCGAGATGATCCGACGCTCAAATTTCCTCCCCAGATCCTTTTTACAATTATATCCTTAATCTCTTAAATGATGACAATAATACGATACAATTTGGTTTACTTAATTGCAATTCAATCTTTCAAATAATAATATTAATTGTAATTTCAAAATGCGTTTTACAATTATATCCTTAATTAACATAATATTATTGTACGGAGATGGCAGGGGTTTTTACTTTTGAGAAAATCTTTCAAATAAAACATGTTTATCTAAATAATATATGTTACTTAGAACGAAAATAAGCTAGAAACACTTCTGCAACGCTAATAAGTTTTTAGAATTTTCCGTCCTTGTAAAATTTGTAATTAGATTATTGTTTCTATGGCTTTTGTTCCCGACGTGTCTTGTGCTCCATGAATATTGCCATGCAACGAAACTGTGTCATACAAACATATTATCAAGATACTGAAATTTAATAAAAAAATTTAAAATGTTAAATTTTAATTTAAACAATCTATATCTAAGAAAAAAAGGGGTGGGAAGAGTCGATGTTCAGAGATATTTAAATCTGTTCATTTTGTTTGATTATTCATGAAAGAGCCCTCGTGCTTAATAAGCATTTGATAAAATTGAGTACACTTACGTGCGATGAGTGGTTCGACATGTGGCAGCAACCATGAACCCTTTCCTTTTCTTTTCTAAACGGATGAATGCGAGGATCGTATGGACATTCTAAAGTCATGAGCAGGACTTTCTTAAAAATAATAATAAATGTGATTCGAATTAAAAAACAAAACTGAAAGTAAATCTTACTTTTAAGGCGTTTCGCAAGAAAAGTCTTCACTTTTTAAGAGCTTTTGATTTGCCTCGAGTCTTACTTTATTTTTTAATTATATTTGTATATTCAGATATGAAAACAACAATACTTGTGAATGTGTATTCTTTTTCTTGATTTTTTTTAAAGAGAAAAATCTCTAAATATACAGCTCATTTACACTGTTATTAAAGAGAAATATTGAAATAGACAGGGCGTACCATATTATTTATAATCTATTTAATAACAATATGATATTTAAATTATATTAAATATAAATTAATTTTAATATTAATGATAATAGAGAGAGAAAATTTAATAAATTAAATATGCATTCTGTTATAAAAATAAAATTAATTTAAAAAATATTACACAAGATTTTATTTAGATTATTTAAAATATTTTAATTAAATAAATTATAAATGATATGATATACGTGACCTACCTAAATATTTTTCGTTACTAAATATTATAATATAGAAGTGCCTCTAAATAATTAAGATTTTCTTTGCCATTTTACAAAGCATCCAACTCGCTTTAAGCAGCGGCTCTTCCGCCAACCAATCAGCGATCTCTCCCTGATCCCTTCCCTCATTTATTTTATTTTGCCCCTTCCCCTAAATTAAAAAAATTATTAAATGCCACATGTAGGGGTGAAAATAAGTTGGATCGAGCTAAACTTTAATTAAATAAGTTTGAGCTTGTGTGATAAATCAGAGGCTTGAAGTTTATATAAGGTTTTTTTTTTACAGCCCAAGTCTGAATCTACCTAAACCTGATCTAGCTTGAAAGCCTATTTAAAAGCCTGCTTAAAAGTAAGCATTTTAAATAAGCTCGCGTGTTAGTTTTAAACTTATTAAATATACTTTTATATTATTATATTACATAATATATAACCTGATTTATCAATTACAATATATAATAATTGAAAGGACTTACCAACTACAATACAATATAATAATAAAATAACAACATTAAAATTAATATATAAATCTAATATGATTGAAAGTATAACTAAAAATAAATTAATTAAAAATCAAATGGTGAAACTAATGTATTTATTATATAATATATATATATATATATATATTATGAGGCTTGTTGGATTATAAGCTAAGCTTTGAAAAAATAAGCTTGACATATTTAACTTGGCCTGATCCTATTTAATAAATAGACTAAGCTAAACCTAAAGTAGGCTAGATTGTAAGTCCCTATTAGGGGCTTGGCTTATTCCTACCTTAGCCACGTGCTTGTTAGTTTAGTTCTTTTTTGGACAAGAATTATCTACTTAGCCCTATATGCTTAATATATTATATTTAATCAAATCATGACATGTGAAATTTATTGTATTAATCTAATTAATAACAAAGATCTATTATAGAATAAGTAATCTATAAAAAGTTCACAAGTCTTAATTTAATTAGATACAAATATTTTAAGTGTATAAGTTTTCTCCTTCTTTTTTGTTCTTCTAGCGCTTGCTATTTCAATTTATTTCTCAATAATCCAGACCTTATTAGTATAATTTAATGCTGCAATTATCACATTGAAGTATTTGTAGTTTTGCACCATATATTTAAGTCTATATACATGCATGTATATCAATTTATTAAAAAAATATTGTTTTACAATTATAACTTCACTTACACTAAAGGCATATGATGACCCAAGTAGTCATAAATGTGTTTGGAAGAACACACACACACATTTAGTTAAAAATGTTACTGTGAAGTTGTCACTTACAATAACGAACATAACCACTTATTGACACCAACTACATTAATGCATGATCTCATTAAGCACAAACACATCTTTGAATGGAATTTAGCTTGCAAACTATTAACAGTCTAGCTAGTAATTATGTAATAATTAATTAATTCAGTTCGAATTCATTTTAATTGCATATTCTGGAACGACTTTTGTATTGTAGCATTTTCATGTTTGAGAGATTACCAGAGGAGAAAAACTGGTTCCCGTATCAAAATTATTTTATGAACAATGAGCATCAGTGTGAATTGTTATTGACTTATTGTCGGCCGAAGAAAGAGTCGGAGCACTGTGACTCTTTGGGTGTGAGAGTGTGTCTAGTATGTCAAAGGAACGTGTTCTTAAAAGATTAAATTGCGACCAGACAATATTAATGGATTCTCAAGACCTTCACTGCAATTTTTTTTAAAGAGTTAAGTGACTAGGGGGAATAACAACAGGTGTGTTGTGAGTAAGTGTAAAGTCCAATGTCATTACTTAGAGAAAAACAAGTACAACGAGATGCTCCATGGATATGGAAAGGCAAAATTGTGAAACTAGCTTTGGATGCTAAGTTTGTACAAAAAAAATAAGTACCATTGGGTGAATTGGAGATGACGCAAGGTCAGTAATAAAATATTTGTACTGGATAAGTCTTGTATAAATTTGATAGTGTCAACAAATTTTAAGTTACCTGTTTGTTGCCTATTTATAACAAATGGCAACAACATGCTCCCTTTCAAACTCAAACTTGATACCTCTAAGAGCTCTATCATGCAAAGCATTGAGATGTGAATGCACCAAAAATTCTTGAAGAGTGGACAAAGTGGACATGACTCCGTCAAGCCTTTTCTTAAAATGCACCATTCCATTTATTCATGCAAGATTGGATTGCTAATGGGCTGACTGTTCTTTTTTTCTAGTTTGGGCTTTGGGCATCACCACAATTGGGCCTGGGTTATGATTTTGGTTCAATCAGTTACACATGGAGGAAGAAATGGAAATTAAGGCAATTATATATTGTAATGCTCAGTGTAAAGGATCTAAGCATTATTCCACTGAATCTTATCCAATATCCATACTATATATGAGAGAGAGACACACACACAGAGGTAGCCCCTTTTCTCACACGTTCTTCTTTGACCAAGCTAAGTAATTAATTATTCATTTTGGGATCAATAATTTAACTACAATTCAAGCTCCATGTCCATAAACCTTTTTCCTTGGTTAAATCTTATCAATCGGTAACGTCTAGTTTTCCTCAAATCCATTTCAGCTATATGAGCATGTTAGTTCAAATATTTTTTTTTAAATACAAAGTTCCACCCATTTATTGTTAACGGCTGATATAATTGGATAAAAGACAATCTGATGAAATATTGAAGATTTAATTTGAATGGAGTTTTTATTGCGCGTATGAGACACACGCAATCTTACGGTTAGATTTTGAAATATCTGCGGTTCGGAAATTTTTCTATTGCAAGTCTTGAAGTGGTAACAGATTTGGATTTTCAGTCTTACATAACATTTAGGCTATATTTTATTTCTCTTAATGTTGTAAAGTCAACAGTTCTCATGTGAACGTAAAAGAACTTTAGATTGTTTCACCAAAAGAGAAAGAATAAAAAAAAAAAGAACTTCAGATTGTTTCCATAAGTAGCGGATCAAGTAGCCATATGTCCTAGTTTGGAGAATGTTTCAGAATCCAAATTAATTAAGAACTTGTGATATTCCTCTGTGGTGTTTATCTTGGTGAGTTACTCATACATACATACACATACATATTGAAAACATTGGAAGTCTCATTCTGCATGAAACGCAAGTTTATGTAGTTTGATCATAGAAAACTCTCTCTCCACCCCTCCCCCTCCCCCTCCCCCTCCCTCTCCCTCAGTGTGTGTGTGAGTGAAAAGTAGTCCAAGGAATTGTTGGTAGTACTGTTACTTCTGTTAAAAAGAAGCGAGAGAGATTGTGCCATGTGGGATGACATGTTTAAGAAAAAAATGTTAATTAGCGTGAGAAATTTTTATATGGGTTCAGTGCTCTATATGAACAAAGTTCTATAAAAATGTCATGCTACACCAGTTTAATCAAATATAATCTCATATATATGTTATTAGTTTTAACGACTTTATTTTTGTAATAGAGTAATTCTTTAATTTTTTTATATGTTACATATCTATCATTATTAATGATATAAATAATTTATATTTACAATTACCTGACGTGATATGTTTTATTGGATAAAATATGAATAACACAGTGCAACATGTCTTTGCAATAATTTCTTATATTAGTATATATAATTTGAAAATATTGAGAAATAAAGAAAATAAGTAAATATAAAAGTGATTCGGTCCAAAAAGAAACAAAAATGGGCTAATTAATGCGGTGCATTTATTACACGGTTAGCATATTAATATTAGCTGACACGTTTTAGAAATATAATCACTGTATAGGCTCCATTAGCATATGTGTATTTATTTATCATTTTGCAAGTGAATAAAAGCATTTCCTTATTAACGATTACCAAACGAGGCCCTATTCTCTCAGTCTCGTTTCTTGAAATCGTAACCGCATGGTGATATCATCGTCGTCTTATTCTCACTATATAGTCCCTCCCCAGCTCACTCAATTTCATCTACTTCTATTACTCCCACCACACCCATTTCATATCAGTTCTTATCTATGGCGGATTATGGCTATCCTTCCCATCCACTTTACCTTCCTTGGGAGTTTGACCCCTACCTCTTCGTCCATCCCAATCCAATTTTCCCATCCTACTCACAGGTTCCTTCCTCGCTTTCAATATTTTTCGCATATCTAAGGTAGATTTCAATTGACACCAGGCAGATCTTGATTCTTTTGAATTGCTTTTATGGTCGCAGGATTTTGTAATACCACCACCTGGGTATGGTTGGATTCCTGGTCCCGTGACGCCAGTCCTGCCCCTTGAATTCGATCTAGCATTTCTCTCTACTTCTTATTGTCGTGCATATGCTTGCTTCCTGCAACCATACGCCCACCATTATCCGCCACCTCCAGCTCCGCTATCTCAGGTGACCTACTTGGTCCCGTCCCGCGCTCAGTTTGGCCTCGATCTGAAACCGTGTTTTTCTTGTCTTTGAATTGTGTTATTTTAGTTTGACACGCATGTTCTGTCGTGTGACGCTTCTCGTACAAACCATGTTTGTTTCTGTGAATCGATGATATATTGTCATGTACCTATAGTTGTCTCACTTATACAGATAATCCAGACGAATTGAATGAATCAGCTTAATTATTTCATCAAAGAAGCAACGAGAACAGAAAAAGTTGCAAATAATATATGGTTCTTGAAGTTGATAAATAGTTGCTTAGATAGTTAAGATGAATCTTATGGTTTGTACGTGTCTGTATAGCTTCAATTTTTTCAACGCATTAATTTAGCTTCAATGAGTAATGAAAAGCTTCTGTGGTTTGATCGATATTCGTAGCCGCCGAATGATGGCGTCCATCTAGGAATCCCATTATTACTTCCTGGTTTGCCGGCGCCACACTATCATCAGCCGCTTCAGATAAACGTGATGACTCAGATTGTTGCCGCAGGGACTGGTGTGTTTCATCCTCCTGCCAGAGCTGGGAGGAGAAGGGGTTAGTTGTCGTTCTATGTATTGTGTTTTAGAGTTACTTCAACATTATATGATCTCTCACAAATATCATAATGAATGCATGGTGTGAAGGGAATGCGGCAGGAAGATGGGGGATCAGACAGAGAAGAGAAGAGGCTTCGAGAGACGCGAGAACCTCGAGTCAGAATAACACAGGGACGACATCCTCCCAGGAGAGGGAAGGACGTTGAGAATCGTGCATGTAATCTCCGCATGGCTTCTGTAATGGCCTTCCCTGAGGATTGGATCTCGCATCATCTCAGGTCCCCGTGTCCTGTGTATATCATCAGCGTCCCTTCAAAGTGCCTGTATATTTATTGCCCTGCGTGTCTAGACTTTGAACAAGAACTTGGACTCGTCTCTTTTTTCATGTTCAGTTAATGCAAGACTGTGTCTTTACAGCACTAATTAATTAAGTCGTGTGTTTCCGCGCTTTCGGTTCGTACTTACCTATTGCATGACATATAACTTTCTTTTCATTTTGAAGATTCAAATATTTATCTTGATCGACTTCTTTTATTTTTTTCTCTGAAAAATATCAAAAGATGAAACAAGTTACTCAGGTAAACTTCTGGATTAGTGTGTCTCTATCTGTGTATGCTGTTGCTGTCTTTTTTATATAATTATTTTTCATATGTTTGCCTTGACGAGCATACCTCTTGCACGGGCGCGTATATTATATGTATATTCATTCTTGTATAAGAAGCAGCCTATTCCTTGTTAGTCTATTGGTTCAACGCAGGTCTCATTCCAGAGTCCAGGTACTCGGCCGGGAGATTTATTCTGGTAGATATTTGTTACTGTATATATGCGTGCACTTTGAACTATGGGAAATACTGCGGAATTTCGCGGTTTTTAAGGCTGATTGAAACCAACAGCTTCAATTCTCGGTGTGCGCAAAAAGTCGTTTCTGAAGGTCAGAAGCAATGCTCGCCAAGAGTTCTGTGCCAATGCTGCAAGGTTACATAGAACGGTTCGACCAGGACTAGCTGGCCAGTTGATATAAGCTATCATGATTTATGAGTATCCGCGGTTGATCCTTTCTTTACATGGAATCCGATCCTTTTGCCACTTCAATCCATGCGATCCCAAGCATTTCCGTATTGTCGGTCTACTTGAGGAAAACAACTGTGGATTCATTTTCCGCACAAAATTTGAAGTAGCCGTCGGCGGAGGGGTCTATGTTCTCTCCGTCTTAGGAAAGCATCAAGAGTGCGAAAGAGATGAGGGATGAATGGGCCCCACATGCATTGCCTTCGTTGAATCTCCCCTCGGGAGTCGTGACTATCTTCCGAGAAAAGGGCAAAAAACGGGTGCAGCTGTGTCAGTGAAACTGTGTCACTCTCTCATGTCCAAAAAAAAAAAAAACGAGAAAGAATTTGAACGCTGTCGCTCATGTCTTTTTTTGTTTTTGCGAAAGATTTAAAAAGACAAAAAAAAAAAAAGGATAGGAAAGAAAGGAAAGGAAAACCGGAGAGGATTGGTTAATATATATTTTAAAATTATTCTTATTTTTAAGACCCTAAATAAATATGATCCGATGGTGTCGATTGGTGAGCAATAACATGTTATCAATAACTGAATTTAGTTAAAAATTTAATTATGCATTTATTTCATCCATTGTTTTTAAAACCAAATTGGACTGGTAAGTTGGACTGGTGATATGACGATCTAGCTCTGTGTCCGATCCAATTTTATGTTTTGTTGTGGGTCTAATTGACTTGAGTTAACTTGGGTGATTAGGGATTAACTCAAATCAACTAGCCTTACTCGTGGTTAGAAAAAAAAGATGCAGAAGCAGAAGCCCTGACTAAATGAGTTGCTTTGTTGGTTCATCTTTAGATCCTCTGCTCTGTGCTCTTGGCTTCTTGCTTGCACTCACTAAACCAGTGAACTTCTAGTCTTCCACTGCATCATTCATGCCATGCTGTCGTCTCGCCGTGGTCCTTAAGCTGTAAGCTTCGAGCTTCGTGTTCAACTTCACTCTTCAGGCAACTTGTCTTAGAGCTTCAAGCTTTGTGCTTCTTGGGTCTCAACTCAATCGTGTTCGACCTTCGCTTGTCTTCGACCTCCAACAATTGCTCTCCCTCCCTCCCCACTCGATTCAAGTTGTAATGACCCAAGAATTCAAGTAAAAAAAATTAATTAATAAATAAATTTATGTTTTAATAATAATTATATTAGTCTTTGAAATTATTGTGACAAGAAGGGATGTTAGTGTAGTGGAAGAGGGTTGTAAATAATAAACATCAAGTCAGGCGTTCAAATATGATAGAATCAAGGGAATTTCATTTTTCTTGCTTTTGTTTATGAAATTACCAAACTGCCCTTTTCACATCTGATAAGAAATGAAATTTTCCACCCTCTTCTTTGATCTTTCCAAAGCTGTCAAGAGTGGAGATTTTGATTTCAGTCATTTTTCGTTCCTTCCTCTGCACTTTGGCCTTTCTTCTCTTTGAACTCAGCATCGTTGGCATGCTTGTCATTGCTGTTGTCTCGTCCATCCTTGATCAACCAAACGTGACCTCTTCCTCTCCTCTGTTCTAGATCAGTCCCTTTCTTCTTTATTGTTGGCATGGCTGTGCAGGTGAACAGGAGAACTTGCTTCTTTTGTTTGCTCACTTTATCAATCATCGGTTTGCTCATCTCTTCTCTATGCTCGATAGCAGTCTTCCTCTCCTTCACTGTGCAGATGTAAGATTCTCTTCCTCCTCCTTGTTTGTGTCATTGTTGCATGAGAGCTAAGTCGTTGGTTGTGGTTGTTTTTGCTTCGTTCTCACTGGTCAGTATTCTTGGCTTCTATTTTCTTTATGTTTTAGATCGTGAGACAGTTTTTCATTGCTGTTAGTATGATTACATAGTCCCTCATTCTCCACTGTTCATATACAAGATTGCCTCCTTCTTGTTCTGTTCATGCAACGTGAATTATCTAAGGTAGAATCCTCGACTTTCTCTCGTTCTTTGAAGAATCTTTGCTGTGAGAGTTGATTAATGGTTATGGGAGATTCATAAATTGTTTGCTATCATTTTCCCCTACACCCGCTGTCTTCTTCTCTCCGGTGTAAGCTAATGTTAATGGAGGCAACCCGCTTATTTGTAATTGTTTCTGTGCGTAAAGGACTGAAAGAATGGTTGAAGTTATAAAATTTCGAATGTGTGTTTTGCTGCTGCCCATACTGTTTTAGGGAAGAAGAAATTCAAATTTGATCTGAAAATTATCTTACAGCTTGAAAATGATGTGTGTGCATATATATGGGTGAACTTTGGAGTCAAATTCATTTTCTTTAAATTGGTTGATGACGAAGAATTGGTTAGAATTATGCTAGAAAAGATGAGACATGAAACTTGAAGAAAATGTTAATATTAGCATGATAAATTATGCCTATATAATATTTGATGAAATGTCTAATAGAAAATTTTACCTTAGAAATGGAATAGCATGGCTAAAACTTTATGGAGGAAGTCATAAGAAAGAATGATAATGCTTAGACCAATTTTAAATCATAAATTTGACTTTGAATTTTAGATGATGATGGTTAATTTAATTTGAAATTGTGTTAAAGATTGAAAATTTATTAGAATTTTATTTATTTATATCTTGATAGGGTATGAGGAAGAACGGAACCTGATAAAAATTAAAGAAATGATACCTTTGAGAATTTTAAACTCCGACATGTAAGTGAATAGTATTTCATTTAATTTATTTTTAATAGTCTTTTACTAAAATATTTTATTCTTATAAATTATATTAATTTTGGAAATTATGGAATATTGATGAAGGATAAATAAATTATGATATGTGCATTTATTTATTCTCAAAAATATATTTTCAAAATTGATGAAAGCATTCTTATATGGTTGTTAAGCTTTGAAATTTATTAGTTACTCAATTAATGCAAGTTTAAAGTATGATTTTGGCAAATTTTGAGATTTGAAACAATTCATGTGAGTTTAATGTTGAAAATGATAAGTTTATTATAGTAATAATTATTTTTCTTGCATGCTTGAAGCGTGATTTTTAAGAGAATTCTAAACACCTGTAGCTGTGGTTAAAAACTAGCTAGTTCGTCTTGTGGGCTTTGTACTCGTGTTTGATTTCGTGATCTAAGCCGCGTTTGGTTAGTATTACTTTTGTGAATTGTGTATCCACATTTGTTTCATGGTTTCAACTGTGTTTGATTACTTACCCTCGTGAACTGTGTATCCACATTTGTTTTCATGGCATAAGCCATATTTAGTTATTTATCCTCGTGAACTGTATGTCTATGTTTGTTACCTATTCTGTTAAGTTCTCAAAATTCTAAATGTTGACTATTATGTGTTTTTGAAATTTTCATGGTTTTGATTAGCAATTATATCACTTTAATTTATATGTGAATAAATTATTTTCTTTAAGCATGATAAAATAAATTACTTCCAACTTATTGTCATTTTATGGTTATGATTATGATTTATACTTATAAATTTATTATGATGAATTATCATCTTTTTAATTAGTTTACACTATTATTTGAGTGTATTATTTTAATTTTTTTATATTTTACTTTGGGAATGCTATTCATTGAAAAAATTTATTTTGGTCTCAGATTTATTAGCTAACATTGATCTCACCACCAACCTCTAAAGGACAATATAGCTATATTGAGTGAAAATTTTATTTGGTACCGTTACTTTTTGATGTAAATATTTAAGTCTTATGTATTTTAATTTAGAAGAAAGATTAGTTGCTTCACATATATTATTGTTAGGACTTTATTTTGATTTATATATTATTGCTGGCTGAAAGGAGCTAAGCTCCCAACTAATACTTTATTTTGTAAAAATTTTGTGTTGTAAAATTTTTAAAAGATCCTATTTACAAGAAAGGTTTTGCTGAAATTTCTATAAAAAATGTTGTAAGCCTTGTTATGACAATTAATATCAAAAGTATCAGAATTTTCATGCAATCTAATTATTTAAAAAAATGAAATGATTTTTCATTTTGAGGCTTACGTAATGTGTGAAGTAATTTGCTCCCGTGTTGGTCACCTTCTGTTTTCGAGGCATGACACAATCTTAGCTTCTTTTCCTCCCTCCCTACTTGATTTAGGCAGCTCTACTATTGATATGCAGACTCATTCTATTTCTAAGTCATTTATTGCTAGTCTAGTCATTTATGCTATCTTAAATTCTTGGTTGGTTCCGAAGTCTCGTATTAAATTATTAATTGTGATGTTGTCTAAAACAACCAGACTCTTATGGGATGTTGCTTTGTTCTAACATCAAAAGGTTGTTGGATATTGCTTTATTTATTGATTTGTGCGCTTGAGAAATTAATTGTTGTGCTACTGATTTGAACATATTATTGATGATTGAAGTAAATTTGTCTTCTTTAATTGTTAAATAATCAAATTAAGATTATTGAATTTTTGTTTGTTTATTTGTGGCAAAATTACTGTAGCTTGCATATTAAAGGTATTTTAGTCATCGGACATGGATATTGAAAGTAATCCTAATAGTGATGAATTTGAGAATTCCACCCCCAATTTCAATAATCTACCTTCGAGTCA